AATCTGATGGACAGGACTGAGAGAGACGAGCAAAAGCGCAGGTATGCCGTCGACGTCGGCACTGATCTCAACGACTTTCAGTTCACTATCACTCGGAAAGACACCAAAACTAAAATGTAAGTTATATCGTCATCAAAATAAAGTAAACTAAATAAGGTACATAATCCTCTCTCCCTTTCCTTACTCTAACAGTTTTGACACATCGATCGGTGGTTTAGTATTTGCCGATCAATTCCTACAATTGGCCACTAATTTGGCCACAAATAACGTCTACGGCTTCGGCGAGAATGTGCACCAAAGCTTACGACACGACATGAGCTACAAGACTTGGCCGTTATTCGCTCGTGACATACCACTCAGCGAAGTAAGAACTACATCATGTTTTGTTACAACTTTAAAACAATTGTTATTTTAATTTAAAATTTTAATTTACTTATAACAAAAAACACAATTTTTACCCCATAGGAAATGCATAATTTATACGGTGTTCAACCATTTTATACTGTACTGGAATCGGATGGCAAAGCGCACGGAATACTGTTTCTCAATAGTAATGCTATGGGTTAGTGTTAACTTAGTTTTATACCATACTCTTGCAAATTTATGCTAAAAATTATATCACCATGCTACAGATTATACACTATTGCCCCAACCGGCCCTGTCATTGAAAAGCACCGGGGGTGTTTTGGATTTTTTTGTATTTGTAGGCGATAACCCGGAGCATGTGATACAGTTGTACACATCAGTGATCGGTCGATCAACAATGCCTCCCTTCTGGGGTCTGGGCTATCAACTGTGCCGATACGGATTCACTGGCACACAGAATGTGCGCGATATGATTGACCGTAATGTTAAAGAAAAAATACCATTAGTTAGTATTAATGCTAAAAAAAAGTTACAATGTTTTATATAGTATTTTAATTATGTTTTAATTACAAAACACGTAGGATGTAATGTATATCGACATTGACTACATGGATAATTACGAAGATTTTACGTATGATAAGCGCGCGTTCGCCGGCCTCCCGGAGTTGTTCAAAGATACCATCACCAAAAACAACCTGCACTGGACACTGATCCTGGACCCGGGCATAGAGGGTAATAACCCAAACTATACGTCGTTTAACGAGGGCTACAAACAGGACGTGTTTATCAAATGGGCCAAAGATGTGCCGGTGAAGGACAGGCAAAACCCGTCCGGAGTGCCCACCGATAAGGACACCATTTACGGCAAAGTGTGGCCGCGCGGACCCGCGGCCTTTCCCGACTTTTTCAAGTCCAAGACCAACCAGTATTGGGCCAATCAAGTGAAAAATTTGCATGATGTTTTGCCATTTGATGCACTTTGGATTGTATGTACTAAACCCAAGGGTCCTACCCCTCCAACTATTATAACTAATTTGATTTATTTGGTTACCTGCAAATAGGATATGAACGAGCCCTCGAATTTTGAATCAAAATGTCCGAATAATAAATACGATTTCCCGCCGATTAGATCATGTGCGTTATTATTAATCATAACATATGACAACTAAGAGTTATTAATATTAATACACACTTATTCCACACAAACAGCGACACTATGGGGCGGATCAGGCAAACAACTGTCCCAACAGACTATATGTATGGCCAGCACTCAGGGAGATAATGAAGAGTACCGTCATTATGATGTGCACTCACTCTATGGTTTAGGCGAGACTATTGCTACACAAAAGTACGTACAATGCCCATAATCATTTAAACCCATAACAATATCAACATGTGTAAATATTTATTTATTTGCCCCAATAGGGCATTACACGCAACTACTGGTAAACGTGGTTTCGTAGTGTCCCGGAGTACATACCCCACATCGGGCCGATACGGCGCTCACTGGTTGGGAGATAATAGCGCCTATTGGAAAATGATGCACCACTCGGTGGTCGGTATGCTTGAATTCAACATGTTTGGCATCAGTTTTGTAAGTACAAACATACCGGTGCTAAAAGATAGCACACACATTATAATTTGGGGGATTGTATTTACAGGTCGGAGCAGACATCTGTGGCTTTATGGGCGAAACAAACCCCCAACTGTGCCGCCGGTGGTCACAATTGGGCGCTTTCTACCCGTTTTCACGCAACCACAACGAGAAGGGCCGTTCAGATCAGGACCCGGCCGTATGGGTGAGCAAAGGCCACCCGGAGGTGACTGAAGCGGCCCGCACTTCACTGCAGCTCCGGTACCAATTGTTGCACTATTTGTATACACTATTCTACCGGAGCTATGTTTATGGCGATACCGTCGCCCGACCCCTGTTTCACGAGTGGCCTCAGGATAAGGACACACATAGTATTGACGGCCAGTTTATGTGGGGCCGGGATATACTCATATCGCCCTTCCTGTTTGAGGTAAGAGCTCTCTCTCTCTCTCTCTCTCTCTCTCT